AATGGTAGTTAGAAGCAAAGAGTTTTGGAAATAGTCTAAAAACTCGATGAACCCAATAAGAGAATGACAGTAAGGACGGAGGGAAATTAGATGTAGTGCCCCTTTATGCATTTAATATTGAGTGTAGTTACATCCAGCCAATATGGATTTATTAAACCTAATACCAATAGAAGCTATTTTGGATCAAAGCCACATATCATCAACAATAGTGCCTGTGAAACACCAATAATCATAATAAAAATAAAACACAACCCCTCGTGTTCATGTTGAATATGACCAGATTCAGTTTAAAGGCTTCCCACACACAAAAAGGTTTAAAAACGGTAATATTCTGGCAGCTGGGTCGCCAGAAAAATACTGTAAAATAACTTGTAATAAAATATAGTCATTTTTTTTTAAATTACAGTACAAATACCTTTTTTTTTACTGTTAATTGGAGAAATGTATCAACAGTAATAAACTTGAATTTAACCGTTTAATCTTTTATAAAAGTATTTTTTGTGTAAATTAATATTTTAACTGTATTTTTATGTAAAAAGTCCTTTAAATAAACAGTAATTTAATGATTATTTACAGGTATATGTGCGTTTATTAATATTTCCATGTATCTTTAGGGAAAAACCATGTGAACATACAGATTTCTTTTACAATGCATGAACAATCGATCAGTTCTACAATAAACACATAATCAATCATATCATATATTGGTCCGTGAGTGGAGCCGGGGGTTGGAACAGGCACAGCGAGAGCCGTGGAACAGGAAGTGAATCCTGCGGCGCTGCAGCAGCAGGTGACCTCTCCGTGACCTTTGGCTATCACTCGCAGGAAGTGCCTGTGTGTGTCAGCGGCAGCGGGTTCGCACTGGTGTGTGTTAGCTTGTGCAAATGTGTGTTTTCTTGTGTGTAGGGATTACAAGAGAAGAGATGGGGTGAGGTGTGTGTGTGTGTGTGTGTGTGTGGGGCAGGTGTTAACATTTCCCGGGGCAGGTTGTGTTTCACCCACTGGGTCCTCAGAGTCTCTGCAGGGTTTTTCTTCAGGGTGTATTTAGTTTGTCCTGTTACACACAAAGGAGCGATGTTAATTTCTCTATCAAATTACTGGATGTTGGACTCTGGGAATTGTAGTTTTTTACCCGGCTGAGCTGATGGGGGAGGAGGCTGCGCCGCTGTAAGTACTGCACTGCAGCCACAGCAGTTGATATGAAGCGCTTTCGATATCGTATCAGGTTAAATGCTCTTTACTGATGGGAGCAGATTGAATGAGTGGGCAGAGATTGGATTTAAAGGGAGCTCAGTTTAAACTTGTAGTCCAGCACGGCTCAGCTAACAGAATATTCTCACCTCTGCTGGATCAGTGCTTTTTTCACTGTTTAGTATTTAAGGTATGGAGGTGATTTTATACCCAAATGCATATTGGGAGTTTTCTAATGTGTCTACTGATAATAAGAATTTCATAATTTTCTTGTCTTTTAAGTATTTTCCGATGAGATGTTTTAAATTTGGGGAAACTTTATGACTCATGTGCGACCACTAATAAAATCCTGTCCTCCTCTCTACTCTTCTACTCTTTCTTCTCCACCTCTTCTGTCCCCCTCTACTAATTTGCTTTTTCCTCTCTTTTTTGTCTTCTACTCTTCTTCTCACCTCTCCTCTTTTCACATTTTTCATCTCTTCTTATCTCACCATTTCCCTTTTTCCTCCTCTCCTCTCATTTCTGCTCCTCTTTTTCTCCCCCCTCCTTATTTGCTTTCTCCTCTTACTTCCCTTTGATACACTCTTTATGTATGAATGTCAGTGCAGTAATGCTTTATATTACAGTATTCATTGATTACATTTTACAAGAAAACATAAACAGATAAATGATCACAACAATCCTTCAGAACATGTTAGCACTGACACGAAAGGATTGAACGCAGTAGAATAAAGGAGGTGTGGCCAGGAGAACTGTTGCTGCTTTCTCCCAGGATACATGTGAAGGAAGTTTAGCCTCATTTGTGTTCTGGGAGGTTTCTGGTAGCAGTGTTTGAGTCTGTTCTTTTTTTTTAATGTTTCCATCAGTTATAGCACTGACATCTACAGTAGGGTTAATCCTGGGGTCAGCAGCCTCGGGTAGCTGTTGCTCTGGCGGTAGAACGGGTTGTCCACTAATCAGAAGGTTGGCGGTTTAATTCCCACCTACTCCTGCTCCATGTTGAAGTGTCCTTGAGCAAGATACTGAAGAAAATTGCTCCTGATGCTGTGAATGTGTGTACAGTCTGTTTACTATCAAAACATTATTGGTCAAAAAAAAAAAAAAATATCTGTCAGCCAGCAGTGTTGTTGGTGAAATAAAATTCTCTATTTTCCTCTGAGTCTTTTCTTTTTTGGATTAGGAATCCATAGCTAGCTTACCTAGGGAGACTCAAGACTAGTGTTAGGAAAGTATAATAAAATAAAATAAATAAAAGAATCAGTCCAATCACATCCTTGGCTTCAGAAGATGTAAACGCTGACATTCAGCGGCTGGAAATATTCCCATTAGAAAGACAAACTACTAATAAAGCTTGTGGCTGAGATGTGGTGGATGAAATGTTAGATTCTCTGTGTTTTAGCCAGAACTTTGGGATAATACCGCTCACAGACGACAAAAGACCCCCAGGTAAAAAAAAACTTGTGTCTGCTTTTCATCCAGCCAGGAACTTTTATGGATTCATAGGCTGCAGAAAGAAAAGGCTAGTTTGAAGCTCAACATTCACACAGAAAGTCTGGGAGAGTAGCTGAAAAGTAATATAACTTGTGGTGTAACTCATTACTGTTGGCAGGGAGGAATAAGTAAAGTAATGACATTACTTTTGAAAGGATGAGTACGTAGTTTTTTTTAACAATGCTCAAGACTATAAAGGTCAGGGCGTGACACTCATTTTAGTTGATGAAATGTTAAAACTTTCTGTTTATTCGGTGTGTAATGGCTACACGCTTTTACAATTGGAAAATGTACACTGGCAGCTGTGGTTGCCAAAACTTTACCATAATAAATATGGTAGACCTTTCCTACTATTACAGTAAAATAATATTGGTAATGTTGATTTAACAGTTAAAGTTGGAGTTTCATTCCATATTTTATCGTATAAATACAAGTTTTAACCATCAAAAGAAAGCCACAAGAAAATATATGAATGGTTTTGGTTTTTTCAGTCCAATAGGTCCGGTAGTTTTGGTTAGTCTGGATTTTTTGTGTCAGTTTGATGTCCTGATGCTCTTCAGTGTTTGTAATGGTGAATGGTGGTCAGTCACTGAGGCTCAGGACCTGAGCGAACTTGTTTCTGCTGGTATTTATTTGTAGTCTAGCTTGTGAAGTGAGTGAGGGTCACTTCTTTTCCCACGACCCACATGTTGGGTCAAAAATTAGCAGAATTTCTTCCTCCTGCTAAAAGAACTTGCTTTTTCTCATTCATGAAGTATTTGAAATGTGTACATTGTTTTTCTGACGATAAAAAAAAGTGACCCTTAACTCCTGCTAAAAGCACTTAAATTGTCTCATTTATAAAGTGAGTGTATATAAGTATACTATAAGTTTGGGAAGCAGTGCTGCTGTATTTTATTATTTTTTGTGTTTTTTTAATGCACATATGTTTATACATGTACAAAGTATGTTATGTATGTTGTGTGATTGTGTAAAACCGAGCTGCCTGCTGTGATGAAAGTTCAGAAAACCAGCCTGACTGCACAGAATAAACACAATATCTCCTCTCCTCCTGTGATTCTCAGCCCATCTGCTCTCCTCCTCTTTGGTCTGTTTCCCCTCTATTTGCTCTCTCCTCAATCTCCACAGTGTGAAATCCAATTAATCAACATACTGTAACGCCTTAGATAAAACCAATACTCTTCCCCTCTCTTTCTCATATCGATTTGAAGAGTTTCTTGAGTCGGTCAAAGCAGCCTGAAACAATAGCAGACACAAAAAAAAGTTGATTGCACCAAAAACACAGTTCAGAGAACAGTGATATCGACTGGACTTAATGCAACCATCGTCTCCTTCGCTCTCCGCTTTCTCTTCACTTCTCCTCCCCTTTATTTATTCATTATTTATCCAATAACAAATCTTACCATTCTTTTTCATGTTTTTATTGTATCTCATCGCCCTTTAACTCGTGTGATTTGCAATGAATCGCAGTTTATGGAATGCTGTAAGTAATTGGATCAAGAGGGCGGCATGGTGTCATGATTTTTCATCTCATTTCTTATTTGCAAGAAATGAACTCATGCAGGAGCAGAGGGATGTTTGCTTCTTCATATATTTCTATTTTTAGCCAGGCTAGCTACAGGAGTGGAAAGGCTTGTTGGTCAGTCGGTCCTCCACGTTGCTCCAGACTGAAATGTCTCAACAGCTATGATATTTAGGTACAAGCATACGTGGATGAATCTAGGTAACTTTGACGATCCCCTGTGGCGCCACCAGGAGGTTTTTGTTTGATCTTTTGTTTGGACTGAATTGTAATGGCGACTATTGGATGGATTGGCATGAAATTTGGTACAGACATACAGGTCCCGAGCAGAGAAATAGGTCCCGAGCACCACTATAGCTCAAGGTTGGTGATTTGTTCCACTACTTTGGTCTAGACCAAGTATGAATCTATGATGACGTCACTCATTGGTTTATGGAGTACCATTTTGAAGCCTTGAGGTTGGCGTTATCGATGTTGCCATGTTGTGATTTGGTTATTTTACGCTGTGCTTGGTTTAAACTCATCTGTAACAGGAAACAATGGTGACTCGCCTGGTCACACATTATCTCGTATTCCAGATAAACAGTAAAATATGTTTGTGAACAGATTTGA